AACGAAGTGGCGTAATACAGTGTCCTCACTCGCTTATCTCTTTATGTCTTCTAGTTGTTTTGTAGTGGCCAATACCCGCCGGGTGACGCAACGGACCACCAAAGGAAGCCGGCATCCTCTCGGGTCACCGTCACCCACCCACTGCCTCGTCACTCTCACCATCTGCTCGAACCACCGAGGGCAGTTCAGCTATTTACCGTAATCATTGCACTGTTCCTATTCAAGGCAGGTTCCACTGTTCTATTCAGGCTAAACAGCTGATTCATTCACTCATTTTCAACTGAATGCCATTATTCGGATACATTTACATCACGGCACAAATTTTGTACTAGTCATGTTATCACCTTCATATTACTCAAGTAACTGTGCAACTCCGCCTAGGCTAGGGGGGGCACATTTAAACAACTCTTTGTGCAGAACTTGATTAATCTCAATGGAGCAGAGAACCTTCCTAAGCTTGACTGGGAGAGTGAATCCCAGGTGAATGAATAAAGTCAAGAAAAAGTGGTAATTTCATCCGGGTAACGAATTCCACATAAGGATTCGTTCATGCGTCTATTGAAAGGCCGCAAATGTCATTTATACAATCCATTTCTCATGCTCTGTATAATTTTGGTCTATCTAAGGTACCATTGTAACGCAATATGTCGTCGGATATCCACCAAATGGGAGGATTCTACGGAGCGACAACACCACAGAACGCTTTCAAAGCTATGAGTCAAATGTGGCAAATGGATCAGTACCACCAAGGATATCCCATGAAGGACATTCAAGTGAGTGGAACAGTTTTTGTCTCTCTCTGAGAAAAAAGTAACCCGCTTTCACTACTTTAGTGTTGATTTTTGCGAGAATACGTTACTGAGTGCATCCTTCCAATTGTTTCAAGTTTTGCTTTCTGTATTGAGCTTTATGAGAATTTCAGTGCTGAAAATTTGGTTCTAAACTATTGAATTTTCTTCTGAAAATACAGGATCACTGCAATAAGCTGCAATGCACTAACGCTCTTTTTCTCATTTTTCGATTTCCTACTCATCCAAGTTTCATCCAGCAAGTCGCTTCTGTGTGGTTCTAAGAACGAAAACATGCTCAGCATCTTTCTTGCCGTTCTTTATTTATCTATTTTTAATTGATTTTTATTTACTTATTTATTTGACGTGTGTGGCGGAATAACAGGCTGTTTCCGCCGTCAGTTAGCCAAAATCAAGCGGCATTAGAAGTATTAGCAGTCGTTGAACAAAACCCAACAGACAACAGCGGGATGGGAGTTTTTATATAGGACAGACTTTTAGGGTTAAGGCACCTCACGTATTCTAGACACGGAAGTGCGGAACTGAAACTACTCACGTCTCTGATGTCGATTCGGACCCTCAGTGCTCTGGCTATGGACGAGTCTGGGAGGACAAAATATTGACTTGAACGAAACAGGACTGATATCCTTGGTTTAGACGATTGTATAGCTCGAGCGCACACTCGAGTTTGTCTGTGATTCGTAGCGGTCGTGAAACAGGGTAAAGCATCGGGGTATGAGGAATGGTAGTGTCAGGCGTTCCCTCTCAAAACTTCACCCTTCCTACCATGATTAACTACGCCCCCTCCGATAGTATTCTTCCCATGACACTGTGTCACTGAATCAGACCCATGGCGCATCCGAAGCCACAGTAGTATTCACTTTGCCTGCTCACACAGTAAGAGTAGCAGTTTTGTGAACTTCACAGAAACTGAATTTTAAAGAGTTGTTCCTTCGGAGTCAAATTTGGGGAACGTCTGTGACGCTATCTGATCTTTGCTTGATCCAAAAATTATGCCTTATTCTTAACCTTTTGTTTCGGCTGTGACAGCGTAAAAAAGCGTTGTGATTCTCAGACTGGGTAAGTCCAACAGTATTTGCCTTATGCGGATAGCTTGCCCTTAATTGGAACTCATAGGTACTCATAGGTACGGTAGCGTTGCTTGGTTGGTACTGGCCGTAAATGCCTAGTTAACATCAGAATATCCTAAATCCTGCAATTATCTCCACCTTGTCAATAATTTGAATTCGAACCGCTATAACATCATCGGCTTACATGGCCTTTCCGAAAATTCGCTGTAAATGCTAGGTTTTTAACCCGATACACGTCACGATAAGTGTGTACTTAAGGATGTTTTCCCAAAAAACTTTATTAGGAAATTCGAAACTTTATTCGTGCGTCAAGTGATGCGTGCGTTCAGCGCTAAAACGCCTACGAGTTGCTATTTCACACCAAATTTTCCTCGAATTATTCTAAATTTCACGGACTGCTCAAATTTCGATAAAGTGCATTCTTTGACGTGAGTAATGTGCATCTCAAAAATTTCTGTTTTGGGGACCGGAGGGACTGGAATGTTTTTTAAAACATTTTCAACAATATTCTTTCTCAAGATCCACGCCTTAGTTTCATACATACTAGGGCGATTGGAGGTTCGTGTGCGGTACAGTTAGGTTTCGGTCCCTATGAGGTAACTGTTTCACCCAGTTGGCCCTGACTGGAACGAAACTGTAAACCTGACAAGCATTCCTTATTATGATGTAGTATCAGTCCATTGTGATATCTTTTCTCGGAATACTATGCATTTTAATGACCTTGATTACCCTGCAGTACTGGAAATCTACTGGAAATTTCATCCTTTTTATATTTTCAGCCTTTTTTCTTATACTGAACTTAGTTGCTGAGAGCCTGACAATGAGCCACCACTTGGAAAACCCTTCTTTGTGCTCTAGTGGCACTAGTGGATGTCGACTGTCGCCCTCCGGACTACTTGAAGTGTATGCTATTTAGGGCCAATAACTTCTGCGGGGGAGGCAAAGTGGTTAGGGGGGTCTCTGTCAAACTTGTCAGAATCGGCTGGTCAAGATATGAGAAAAAAAAAAAACGGCGTCACATTGGCCATTAGCACCAATTTCGAAAAGGACTTTACAGGGTACCTGACAGGAACTTACAGAACTTGCAGAATGTGATACGACTGTGAGAAGCAAGGAAAAACACAGACAAGGATACTCGCTGAGAAGGCTCACAGATGTGCCTCCCCCAGTGTTATTAGCGCCGAAAAGTCTAGTTACGGTACTCAAAGGGTTGGGCTGCAAGTTCTTTTAGACTCATCCTTATCGAACAAATCAAATTACACATTAAGTCCATAAACCCTGCCGTAATCATTGGCCATGAGTACGAAACTTACGCCTATACTGGATAGAGACTATCGGTATCGCTGTGTTCCAAAATTTTTTTTGAATCCCACTGAATGAGTACATCTAGAAACCAAACTTCTATGACTTCCCGATTTCCAGTCTTCACTCACTGTCTGTCGACCTCTAGAGTCTTGCAAAGAGTCACTATCTCCGCCCCTTGATTTTTCACAAAAGGCAAAAAAGTGCGATTTAACAGTTTTGTTAACGATAGGTGATAACTTGATTTGATGGCGTTACGTATTGGTCTCCTTCCTGGAAGCATAATAGGAGAAATACGAGAAATAGGTACCAGCCTCATTGGTACGGTGAAAAGAGGAAGGAGTTCATTATGACAAGCTCCATAACGAATTGAGCCTTTACAATCTCTGAGTGTTTCAGACGCCACCCGGCTTTCCACATCCGTTCGCTAACTTCGCTCAGCAGCTCTCCTCCATCACCCAAACGATGAGAGAATCTCCTTCGTCAACCACCAGTAACCCTACCAAGAAGAAACCGAATCCTGTTCCACCCGAGCTGAAGGACGAGGTAATTCATTTCTTGTTCAAGTAACCTCATTCCAGCGAAATGCCGTAAAAGACTTCCAATGCTATCAAAGAATTGGTAAAAATGGCGACCTCTTGTTACTACACTCCCGCGTATAATACGTATTCCTCACCGTCTTGAAGTCACTCCAAAGATACAACGGCCCGACAACTAGAGGTTACTAATAACTCTGTTCCAAAGTGACATTGAAGTGCTCCAATCGTTGAAATAGGGAGGGAAGTGCTGATGCCAGCGAAATTCTACAGTACATTTCTTCTCAATAAGGCGAGACGGTGTCAGGAGGCATGGAATAATCCTTATCGTGGCTCTCGATCCCTGGTTGTTCTTTTCCTGATTCCTGAGCTCGTCAAGGAGGATGGATTTCGCGTAATGTCAGCCCGTTTCGTTTCTTTTTCGGCGAGTGACAAGGCTGTGTCATACTGTTCTTATCATTCGCTGTTGCTTGCCCCCTTCAGTATCTGATGGAAAACGGGCTTGGCGCCGCGCCAAATCCAGTCTTACCGGCACGCCCCTACATCAGCAGCGGACAAGGCTGAATCGGAAACTGTGTGAGAATTATAAGTGAACTTACTATAACTGAAATAATTAGGTTGTCCGGAAAGTTCTCAGCGTTTTGAGTGTTTCACTTTAAACGATCATAACTTTCTTAATACTCATCGGATTTAATCGAAATAAGCACCGTTCGAATCAGCACACTTTTGCCAATGTGACACCAGTCGATAAATCCCATCAAAGAAAAAACTGGGTGGTCGACGAAATCCACGAAGGCTTTTTTGCCTGGTCCTGATTGATGAAGTATTTTCCAGCAAGGGAGTTCTGAAAATGTTAGAAAAGGTGATAGTCGGTTGGTGAAAGGTCTGGAGAATATGGCGGGTGAGGTAGAACTTCAACCCCAATTCGTTCAATTTATGGATAGTGATTTGTGAAACGTGTGGGCGGGCGTTGTCATGCAAAAGAATCCCTTTCTGTTGACAAGTGCTGGCTGCAGCTGACGCAATTTTCGGTACATTTCGTCGATTTCTTCACAGTAGGACTCTGCTGTGATGGTTTGGCCTGGTAACAAAAAGTTATAGTGGATCACACCAGCCGATGACCAGCACACTGCGGCCATAATCTTTTTTTCGTGAGGATTCGGCTTTGAAAATTGTCTCTTTTTTTCTCTAGCACTTATTGGGCCCCCACACCTGGTTAATTTGTCGAGCTGTCTCGACTGCGGATTGACCCAATTGTAGTTGAAGAAAAATATCGTCCGAAGTTGCTCTTTTGACATGCTTCAAAAAGTCTTGGGAAAAGGGGGTTTATCAAGCAATGGTGAAACGGCAATTATATCAGATAGCGCAAAAATTCTCTTCAGGATGTACTACTGAGACGCAAGGGAGAATGAGTTTTTAATCAGCAATGAATGTACAAAAAATAGTAACACAAAACGCTGAGAACTTTCCGGACAACCTAATGAATGAACCTTCTTCTGAACAAGTGCCTCTAGAAAGTCGAGTGTTCTTGCGAGTTATGGTAGTACCAACCATAAGAGTTGTCGCTACTCGTATATGGATGCACTGAAGAAAAGCGCTGTTCTGGTAAATAAAGGCGCACTTGCACTTTTTCTCTATGTGCAAATACGTGCCCTCACCGAAATGCCTTCTGTATGTGTATCTATTGAGTTGTGTCAAACGTCTTGTCACCACTGATTGTTCGCATTTGTACGTGATTTGAGGGTTACGTGACAAATCGAATTCACACTGAGGTAAACATATAGGTCGTGTCAATTACAAAAAAAACAACAATTCACTCATAGATTGCATTATCAAAGCTGCAGACCGCACAGGATGGCAAATAGTTTTTCCACCTCAAACTTTGTTGGCGTATAGGAAAAATGTATATCGATGTTGAAGCAGTGCCCCCGGTTTGACGCGATAGTTGGAACACAACTCCAGGTGTTCCATTTGTAGGGGAGAATGAGTTTCACTTGAGTCTCATCGTATACGCAGGGGTCAAAACTGCAATATAATTCCAACATTGCTCACCCTGTAGTGACAAGGGGCACACTGACCCCATGCGTGAGCTGTGGATTGAATCCGGTTTGGCTCTCGCCCAACCAAGGCTTCTTCCCCCTGTAAATTGGGGACAGATTTGTCTGTGCGGATGAGAACACTGACTTGCACATGGCTGGCTCCATCAAGTTGTTGTATAGGAAACATCGCATTCAATAGGCCACTACGGGTCTCACTGGAAGCCGAATGCGAGCCGCATCCCAGGAATTGGTTGGTCAGCGGCGAATACTCTACTCTTTTTGAGAGTTAATATTGCTAACTGTGTAGGAGTTAGGAGTGAACAAGTGAGATGAGAATCAGAAGCAAACGAGGCCAATTTTATCTTGAAAAAGCAGCGGATAAATTACTCTGTTGCAGGCATACTTCGAAAGAAGAAAGCGTAATAACGAGTCAGCCAGACGGTCGAGAGAAGCGAGACGTCAAAAGGAGGACGTGAACTTCAGGAAATTGGAACTAGTGCAGCAGGTAGAACAGTTTTGTCCACAATATCTGATAAAATAGTGTTCTTTCCGCAATATTTGATAAAATACAGGTACTAGCTCCGCAGTCATTCACCATGAATATCTTAAATAATCGTGTAGTGCTCCCCAGAAATCGCCCACCCGCATAGTCTCAGGTTTAACTTCTTCAAACCCAGCATAGGCAGAAGGGTACAGGGAGGAGGACCTATCTTCCATCGAACCTGAATGAGCCGCTCAGAAGGTCCGTAGCCCAAGTGCAACTTTCGAATTTTCAGGACAACATCCGCCTAAAAGCCGAACTGCAAAGGGTCCTAATGGAATTGGAAAGGCTCAAATATGTAGCAGCAGTGCAAGGAGTCCAACTTTGAACCGCTCAACACTTGCTTTGTACCTTTAAACTCAGGTATCACCGGCATACTTGATTGTCCTACGGCTTCTATCACGAGTATCGCCATATCTCATATAGATAGTAACAGCTCAGAAACTCTTCGGATTCTTAGCTATAACTTTCTTGCCTTTTACTCTTCGTTGTATATAAATTGAATGGATTCTCAAAATGGAGCTTACATATTTATATTCTCAGTGACATTGTGTGTGGATAAATCTTGTTTGTTTGCTTATATCCATGTTCCTATTGAGAAGAAATAACCCGCACTCAACTGTCACCCAGCACTTAATTGGTACTCGGTTCGAAAGAAGAAACACAGGAAGTGCACTCTGTAGTAGAACCAGACGAACACTCACAATAATTCAGTTGTGGACACAACTCAAGGGCGAACCCTTAGTATTCCAGAAATACTTCGCCTCCCAATTGATAGGTACAGCATGATGTGAATAATTAGATTCACAGTTCAGCACTGGCTGAGTGGTAACAACCTCGATCCTCCCTGGCAAGCCTTGCCATGCTCGTGACTGGCAAGTGCATGATAAGGATGCCATGGGCTTACGGTTCGTGGCCCCCACTCCCCTTCATGACAGAAGGCGTCCACAGCAAATGCCACACCTAGAATCGCTGTAGTGCTGGTCCGTTATTCTCTTTATCTCTGGTCCCTAGTGCGCACGCGCAATGTTTCTCCGCTGCTCATTGCTCAAAGTAGAGGGACTCATGGCTGACTATTTTGCCGTCTTTAACTTTAAAGTGATTAGATTCCCACACAGTGATTCAAATATCTCCACTAACAACAAGGCTTCCGTTATATACACAGAAACCCTTAGGATAGCCAACACCTGTACTTGTTTTGATACGTTTATAAGAAGGATATCGGATATGGTAAGAATGCTTTATAGCAATGGTTACAGTGAGGACTTCATTATAGCTAGTATAGTGAAGAGTATTTATAGAAATAAACTTATATGTTACAAATACTCTATTACGAATGATTACGGTAGCATAAGCAGATTAGTCCGAGGTATTCTCAGTGGCTTTTTCGTTTAATTGGTGTCTATGTAACACATTTTTTACCTGCATGTGTCGTGTAGTATTTTCGGATATTATAATGTAACATCAACTGATAGTCTGTTTTTCGTAATTACGATGTCCTACTCACGTTATCCAATCAATTATTAAACTTCTCAGTCTTTATCGTTTTCAACTTTATTCCTTATAAACTTGCTGCAATTGATTTTTTCTTCCTTTCCTTACTGAAGAGCACGGAAGGAGGAATATGCTTTTGCTCGGCTTCCGTCTAAGGGCACGTGCGAAACGGAAGCTGAGCTATCTCTTTGCTTTCGACCCCCCTCAATAATTCTCATTTATTAGATTTTACAACATAGTCCATTAATCTCAGTTTCAATGATTTTATTATATTTGCTTGCTGGTGAACCACTTAGTTTTTTTGAATTGGCATTCTAACAACGGACATTCCGGAACATAAAAAACGGGTTAAACTTAGATTTATTCCTAAAAAATTACCCTCAGCAAGTAATACACTTTCCCATTTAGACACAAGAGCATATATTCCATTTTTTAAAAATCTTGCTTTTGGGAATTAAAGAAATGTTTTAGTTCGTTGTCCAAAGCCACTTCATTTTCAAATCGCCGATTCCTCATGTGGTTGTCCAAGGCCAAAAACAAATGATAGTCACTTGGAGCAAGGTCTGGCGAGTACGGAGGGTGAGGTAGAAATCTCACATGTATTCAAAGTTACTCTACCACTAGATCCAGTTTACTGAATATACTTCATAAAAGTAGACAATTAAAAAACCGCACGAACTTTATTGGTTGCCTGACAGATTAGGTTAATAGATTGATGAGTGTTTATAAATTCTCCCCAGTGGCATCTCTACGGGTTGCGATAAACGCGCGCACCGTGGAACGATAGTTGAACTGTCAGCAAATGAGTGCCTGTAATAGTTCATGTAATTCTTTGTTGATTACTCCCTGGAACTGCAAGGAACTAATTAGGTACTGATACAAACTTTAGAACTCTGCGACATACTCCTCATTCCGAATTTTAGGGGTAGTAGAAGCTCGTCAGGGAAACACTCGGTGCTGTTTTTTTTTCATTGACTTCGGGAAACCTAGGCATAGAAAAACAAAAAAAATGGCCACTGCAAAAATTATGCGTCATATTAATACCCCACTACTTTTCACATTTTCTCAAAAGAATGGTCCGCGATGACTTATTGAAATACAAAAGATTGTGTAGGAGGGGTAGTGTGGACAATCCGCAGTGGACAATCATGTCCAGTTTCGCGGCGGTGAAGTTGTAAGACAAAGAAGTTAGGGGCCAAAGTTGCTGCAGTGATACCTCCCTTTTTCCAGTGACTCGCCCCCCCCCCACTTCGCCGGAGTCCGCCTTCCAGTTAAAGCTGTGCTACCGGACAAGTAGCATGGAACGGATGATCCATTGTCTCTTGTGAGATTATGGATTCATTACAAGGAGTCAGCCGGCTGGACTCGTCCCAGCATGCGGTAGGGAACTTGTCTTCCATATTTCAACACCACTAGTTACGCACATTATTGCGGACCCTGCTTTCAGAATCAAGCAAGCCACTGAGTAGCGAAGCTGTTAAGTTAGTTCAATAAGTATAACCACTTGAAGCCTCATATATTCCGTCTATATATACTTCTGCTTACAGGGGGGGGCCAAAAAAAGTCACTTCGACCGAGTCACATATCAGCAAAGTTTTCGCTGCCCAGACAGAGGACGTGGATACGAGTACCAGGGCGGAAGATACCCAAGATGTTCCTCGATAAGCAGGAGCTGGCTCTCGCCCATCACCTTCATGTACACCAAAATATGAAGTCATCTCCAGTCGCAGCTAGTATGGAGTCACCCATGGATAGCTACCTGGAGACCAGTACTCTCGATCTGGATGACCTCCAACATCGAGCAGCTCCGACAACGTCGCCACGGTCTAGGACATCATCTTCACCGCAGTCGCCAAGGCGCGGGTTGATGGTATGGACCGGACGTACCTGGAATGGAAAGACCAATATTTTCTTCGTGGACCCCGGACTGAAGGTGAGCGCTGGCGGTTACATTGAGCAACTCGTGAAGAATATCCTCCTCACATGTCGTCGCCCGTACCTTCTTGGAAACTTTGTACTGCTACAGCATTGGGTGCCACCACATGGAATCGAAGGGCGTTGGAGAAACTCTCGCCTACTTGGAATGGAAGGGGGCTGAGTACCTAAAGAAGATGGAATATCCAAGGTCACCTGACCTGAATCCCTCAATTACCCGGTTCGGGCGGAGTTCAATAGGGTGGTCTACGGTGGCGGAGAAATCGACTATCTCGCTGATCTCAGGCACCACATCGCGGTCGCGTGCCAGAATCTCTCGATGGCGCTCGTCCAGAAGTCTGTGGCGGAGTGTCATGATAGTATTTAATATGCTCTTTAATATGGTGGTGAAAATGTCCGATGAGAATTTGATAAAGTGTAATTTATAGCGCCTCGAATATCAATGAAGGCAAAGTGACTTTTTTTTGCCCCCCCCCCTGTATGCAAAACACAGCATTTGTCACCTCGTGTATGACTGAAGGCAGTCCCCGTGCTCAAGCGAGTCGTAGGCGTCCTTCCTTCTGGGAGTAGTCTGTCCCTCGATCTATAAGACTGTCTAACTTTTCCGGTTTCCCAAGAAATAGCGAAGGGCTGCTGCCCCCATATGTGGCAGCTCTGTGGCGGCTCCCTAGTAGTCCCGCCTACCAAAACTCGAAGGCTACTCTCTGTCATGAGTTCAGTCTTCACACCGTCTTTTCTCTCTTTTTTAGATGGCTTCAACATAGTATGACTTCAAGGAATAATTAGAGAGCCAGGGGTGGAGGATATCGTTCTTCTGGCATGAAAAGAGCAGGTCTGGACGACTCGTTCAGTGAGGATGGCAAGGGGCTCTTAGGGTGTTCTGCACAATTTTTCTACTTTTCTTCGTCCTTGATGAGTCTCCTAGCGACTGCAGGTCCATTATTGCTCGGCACTAGCCACTTAAAGCCAATCGCGGGGTTTGGCTTTAAGCTAGAGTCGGCGTCACGCACGAACATGTGTGAAGTACTCGTCAGACGAATAACTGGTTCTGCCTCAGCGATTCGTACCTTACCGAATAAACTTCACCAATGACCAAAAAGTAATCGGGAAACATCTGCGACCATTTCCGAGAGCACCATCGACGTCGTTTTGTTACGGACAAGCAGCACAAGTCAGATGAATTCCTGAAAAAAGGCAATAACTCGCAGAGGGAGCTCAAGGATGTCTTATAAAATTTCATTCACAGCGTGTAAAATGGAATTCTCAACGTGACAGCTCTTCAGCGCAGACCTACATATAGAGAGCTGATCTGGGATATTTTTCTGCTTTCGTCGGAAAGTGGAATCGGAATATGGGAGGGCGCGTATCAGAGAGGGAAGTCGGAGGTCGTAGTTCCCGGAAATTTTCCCCAGCGTTTGTTGTGCATTCTTCACAATCCTTCCGTCAATATACCTTCGACTCAAAAAGACTCCTGTAAGGAGAGGTTTGTTTTTTTTGCTGTTTTTGAAGGGGCACCACAATAAAACTATGCTTGGGCCATTCGATAAAAGCACTAACCATAAGAGCAGAATCGGCACACCAAAATTCAATTCAAAAACTTTAAAGGGGGAGGCTCGAAGGTCTACGTGGGGATGTTAGGTATTTGGTCGAGTACTCTGAATCAACTTCCACTCTTTCAGGCTCTGAAGAAGGTGAACTCACCTTGCCAACCTTGTGTGGAGTTAAGCAGCAAATAACATCACGTCACCAAAATGCCAGGGTTTATTGAGAGACAAACATGGGGAAAACCCTTATGTTTCGAACTTCGAAATTCATCTCTGAGAACACAGAGAACGCTGACCCTTCCTAGAAGCTTGTTTTGAGTATTCACTAATGGATTCCTAGAAACCCCAACATAAT